AGACAATCGCCGAAGTTCTCTGTTTCGCTCTGCCGAGTGCCCGGCCAAATAAATAAAATTGATTAGAAACGACAATGGCAGCGGCATCGATGCTCCTTATCTGCTGGCAATTTCATTATTTTAATGCGCCACACGACCATCAAAACTTATGGGCGGGGCAATCTAACTGACTGGCTGACGGAACAGGGCCCTGGGCAAAAGGACACGGGAAACGGGACACAACACACCAGAGACAGGACAACGGACACTGGAGTATTGATTGACCGGACTCTGCATCCTGTCAACAGTTTCAGCCAGACATTTTTAGCGCACACACGCAGAAATTAGTATATATAATATTGTCATTATCAATTAAATTGATATTCAAAATATAAAATATCATTAAAAAATATCTTGATTTAAAAAATAACTATATTTTTTGAATATACAAGTATATAGATAGTATAGATGTGCTGAAAATTAAGGCTACAACTTATAACTGTTGAAAAAGGGAAAACATTCAATATTTTTAGCTTAGATAAAAAGGCTTTGTTAAGAACTACTACATTTTTTTTGTAGTTGTAATATATATAATTATATAACATTTTATTTAAATATTTAATTGTGGACGTGAAAAGGCTTTTATTTTATAACTTTTTCCAGTACAAACAAATGTTTATTAATTTCATTTGTAATTTATTTAAAAAACAAAAAAACTAAATGTTAAAAAAACATATCAATATATATATTTTTCCAGTGCACACTCATTTTATTCAGTTTCTGTGAGACTCTGCTCTGCCATTTTAAGGTATCACCAATGGCAGCTATTTTGGCAGTTGAAAAATACAAATTTTTTGCCACTGCACGGACTGTTATTTTATTCAGCTTTGAGCCCTATTTCTGGTTGACATTCTGCAGCAGCAGGAAGTACTGTCCACTTGTCCGGACCATCTGCGAATCAATCAAGTGGAATGGTTAGGTGGGGCATCTACCTCTGCACTCCCCACTCACCGCCATCAGAGTGGGCAAGGACATTTGCATGAACCAGGACACGTCCAGCCTGAAGCCCCGGTTCGTGCGCATCAGCACCATGCGGATGAGCTGGCGGAACTCCCGGGATTCCCCGTACCATTGCACCTCGTAGAAGGCCTTGCCAATCTGCTCGCTCTGCGGTGGGAGTTAGTCTGCGATTAGTCACGCAATTAGACATCAATCAGTGCGCGAATGGGTGGGGGACCACCCCCTCCATCGCAATGTCACCTACAGCCGTCGTAAATCGCTGGCCATTGTAGCAGTACACGACTATCTGGTAGCCGCCTGCAATCAGGTACAAGGTCATCCGGAACAAAATAATGCTGCTGTTGCTGCCCTACGGAGAGCTTAAAGTAAATTCCCCACATTAAATCCACTCCTCCATCAAAGTCTTACAAATCCCACGCTCATCTGGAATAGAGCCAATCCAAAGCCAAAAAGGCTGAGCAGGAACTGCGAGAAGGTGACTTGCCGAAAACAATCGTTGATCTCTTCTGCAAAGCTTTCAAACAAAAGAAAAGTTAAAAAATATGTATATTAAATAAAAATATAATTATTTAATATGTCGCTTTTATTTTGCGATGAAATATGTCGTTCAGTGACCTCCAAAAAATGAGTTTAAATTGCCATACCTCGTTAAATTCGTCATAAAATTTCCAACAAACTGGCATTGACAGCTCAAAAATTTTTGGTTGGATCAAATTTCGAAAAACCATTTTAAATCAAAACTTTTAAGGGTGATATAAGTTTTCGCACTTTTTAAAGCAAAATAAAATTTTAATTTTTCGTTATTATTTACTTTGTGTTCCCTTCTCCTTCCTGTGAGTTTTCGAATTTTGGCAACTTACTTTGCAACCCGTTGGTACTGATAGATACAGCATCTAAGATATTCCACTCTGCGTTCTGGTGGAACCAATTCGGATGTGGAATAGTCAATCATCTGATTAAGTGATTCGATTAGTCCCACACTATGCAGGCATAAAACAATGAAAACTCCATCAAAACTGATGGCACCTAAGGAAATGGAATAGTAAAAAATTTTCATAACAAAAAACCAGATACAGAAACTCACTCATGCCACAGATATAAAGAGAGCAGGTCTCCAGATACATTTGTATATAGTAGTAGGGGAACTCTAAACCTTTTTCTGCCCATCCTGGATAGAGTGATGGCAGAGCTAAAGTAGGTTAAGGTTTATAATATATGTTTCTTCTTCAAAAATCAATATTTATTGGAAGTTATAGTTAACAATGATTATTGCTTGTTGGTATAAAAATCATACTTTAAGATTTTCGTGTATTTTAAATTTAATTATGCCTTATACTTACGTAACACAATTTCGTAGGAACCTTTGGGGCGTGTGAAGTGGCGATAGAGAGTGGTGGCCAGGGAGTTGATAAAGTAGTTTGTGGTAATGCAAATGCAGCAATACAAGTAGACAAGTAGTTGCCTACGAGTGTTGGCCCAGTAGCGATCCATTGTGGACTCCACCTTCTCTCGGATTGTTTTAATCACTGGTAAATCTATTTAAACTTAATGCATTAATATATTATTTCGATTAAAAATAACTCACCTGACATCCTTTCAAAAAGTTCGAACTTTTGCAGCAAATCATGGCAGCGAGCTCTTCTCAATAGATCGTAAATCTGACGATGGGCAAATAGAAAATACCACATCTTCGCTATCGAAGAGAGAAACTGGAAGGCAGTGCTAACGGTCTGCGGGATATGCAAATTAAATTAATATATTTATACACATTAATATAAATATATGTATACTCTAATGGGTACATTTATTTTTTAATTAGTTCTTATAATAAACAAGAAAGAAAGCAAACTTCGGCAAGCCGAAGTTCATATACCCTTGCAGCTATTGCAAGAATTTAACATTTTTGAAAACATTAAAATTATGATTTACTGCGTATATGTTTAAAAACATTGAAGCTATGATGATTAGCAACTCAATTATTTGATAGTTATTTTATATATTTTTATTATTTCTATGGGAGCTATATGATATAGACGTCCGATTTTGATAAAATCTAAGCCATTATTCTGAAATATTTAACCATTGCTATATGTCGAAGAACTGAACAAAAAATTAAAAAACAAAAAAGTTATAATTTTTTTCATTTATTTTTCCGATTGTTCCTATGGGAGCTATATGCTATAGTCGTCCGATTTTGATATAATTTAAACCGTAAATCGGAAATATTTTACCATTACTAAATGTCGAAGGGCTAAACAAAAAATTAAAAAACAGAAAAGTTATAATTTTTTTCATTTATTTTTCCGATTGTTCCTATGGGAGCTATATGCTATAGTCGTCCGATTTTGATGAAATTTAAACCGTAATTCAGAAATATTTAACCATTACTAAACGTCGAAGAACTAAACAAAAAATTAAAAAACAGCAAAGTTATAATTTTTTTTCATTTATTTTTCCGATTGTTCCTATGGGAGCTATATGCTATAGCCGTCCGATCCAGCTCGTTCCGACTTATATACTACCTGCAATAGAAAGACAACTTTTGGGAAAGTTTCATGCAGATAGCTTTAAAACTGAGAGACTAGTTTGCATATAAACGGACGGACAGACGGACAGACTGACAGACGGACAGACGGACGGACAGACGGACGGACAGACGGACATGGCTAGATCGAATCTACTAGTGATGCTGATCAAGAATATATATACTTTATAGGGTCGGAGACGTCTCCTTCACTGCGTTGCAAACTTCTGACTGAAATTATAATACCCTCTGCAAGGGTATAAAAATAAATTTAACAGTCTAACCGATGACAATAAAATGAATATAAAATCTTCTAAGGTATATAAAAATATTGCAAGTCATTGTTTATTTTTAAAGAAATAATAAATAAGTGATTAGTTAAAAGACAACAAAGTTAGTTAAACAAAAATGTCTAAGAAGGAATGGATTTTGTAATTTATAGAAATGTTTAAATCGGCAGCAACAACAGAATGAATAAAAAAAACCATAAGAGGTATTTTAATTTTTAAAATAAATCAAAGTAATTTAATAAATAAAATGTCTACAAAAATGAAACTTTTATTTTACAGAAATGTTTACATCGTCACATAATACAGAAGAATAGAAAAATAATTAAATTGAAAAAGAAATGAAGTATTTGAGACCTTAAAACACAACAAAATAATTATAATAAAAATGTTTGAAAAGGAATGAAATTAAATTCTTTAGAAAAGTTTTTAAGATCGGGCACTTCCTTTTACTCTTGATATACAAAACAAATAAAGTTTCCTATAAAATTAACAATACTTTTAACTAATTTAGTAACCCACCTCGACGATGCGCGGTATGTCATGAATATTCCTGGCCAACATCTGCCAGTGGCCGTAAAGCGAAGCCAGGCTACTCAGGCTGAGAACAATAGTCCAACTGATGAAGTAATTATGTTAATGAGTAGCAAATCTTTTAAATCACTACACTCTCCAATCAAAATACTCACATTCTGAGTACCTGACCACAGCGGGAGGGATCCATGAGATTAAAGCCCACCGTGTAGGCGATTCGGATCATCTCCCTGATGCTGCGATAATTCCGCTTTTTGAGCTCAGCCGCCTCTTGTGGTGAGTACATGTCGTCTAATCGGGGACTAATTGTGTTAATCGAGCATTTATAGGGACTATCAGGAGGGCGTGGTTTTCGAGGTTGGCATTAATTAGATAGTTCATCCAGAAACCACGCCCCATTACGTGGGAAAGTTACACTAAATAATTGAAATACTTTCCCTTTGGCAGGGGAAATGGGAAAAAGGGAGTGAGTGATTCTCCACATGTCCTGTGGTTAATTAGCCTGACCAATAATTATATCCACAGGCGTTATTATATCCTGTGAGAGCTTTAAGGACTTTAAGCCTAGCATATTAAGCTTTTGATTTAATTCTGGCAAGAGAAGTTTTCCACCAAAGCTTTGTGTCTGTAAGCTCCCAGCCGAAAAATTAAAAAATTGTTTTTTGGCTTTTTACCGCTAAGGGTGGTGAAACAGTCTATGTAATAAAAGATACACATCAATGTAAGTTATTCGGTAATTTCAGAATAGAAACTATTTTGTTTTGGGTGAAATATTTAAATCAGGTACCCATTGATTATCAAATCTATTTTTGAGAGCCCTTGCAGTTATCGCATGATAATCCCCAAAAAGGTCATGATAAGCTAATCGCCCAAAATATGCAAAGTAAGTCCACGAATTGTTGTAAAATGTTTTCTGATAAAATATTGAAGATAAGACAATATTCAGGTTAACCAAATTAAGTTAATCGGATTAAGAACCAAAGATAGTACCAGAATTTCAATGGAATTACTTTGTATTTTTGATACAAGCCCACAAGTAGTTTTCCTATTTAATACTCTTATTCGGGGTCAATATTTTTCAGTTCTCATTTTACCGTGTAGTCAGAAAGATCTTAACAAAGAAATGGTTGACCCTAACATTTTAAATTTAAATGACGATTATCTCTATCATATATTAAAGTATCTAAGCATTAAAGACCTCATAAATCTAGCCGATAGCTCTGTTAAGTTTCGACACATATTGCTGAGTAGACCGCCGGCTTTTTATCCAGTTTCCCATGTTAGCCAAGCCGATGGCATTAAACCAGTGTTATATTACTCCACGGTGGCCATTAAACTCATGAGAATCGTATCAAATAACGTAAAAACACTGGGAGTGATACAAGGACATGACTATGATAGAGAGGATCTTGGCAACGTCGTTCGAGATTTTCGAATTCTTACAAAAGCAAAAAACAAAATAGATCTGCGACATTGCCTTGGAGAAAAACCCAGACTTGAGGATATGTTTCGATTTTCCTCCTATAGTAAGAACTTATTGGTAGGAAAGCGAAGAAAATGTAACTAAAAAACTATTTTAATTTAACAGCTCGTGACTATTTGAGTGTAAACATACCTTCTTGTATTTGTTACCTTGAGGAGTTTTTTCAACTTATTCCTGATTTGCGGGAACTACGACTTTCCGGATTCGCCAAGTGCTCCGGTTGTGTTCGACTTATACTAAAATGCTTTCCCAAGCTGGATGAACTCTGGATTCGGGGAACCTGCCTGAAACTTCCATCTGATTATGAACTGATATCACAGATGGGCTCTTTAACGAAACTCTCACTTAATGTTGGTGGACCCAATTGCTTAGCACCTTTGGCCAATTTAACTGAACTTCGATCTTTGTATGTGGAGAGTATATTTAGCTACATATCGCCAGTAGAAATTATAGAAATCATACAGAAGTGTAAAAAGTTGGAGTTTCTGTACTGCTATTATATAAATCATGGCCAACAGCCCCATGATTCCATTGCAAATCTCTTTAGGAGAATTAAGTCGATCCGAGATCCAAGCCAACAGAATCCACTTCAGTTGCATACATATTTGGACCCACCTTTGTCAGAAGAAAATGTAAGTATTATATATATTTCCAAATAATATTAATATTTCTTTATGTGGTTTTGTTTTATATTTTCCAGAAAAAGCTGATCGATAAGGCTTACTTCGAATATCGCCGCCAGCCCTAAAATTTTAACCCAATATATTCATTTCAAATAGAAATCGATATTTCATTTATAACTAACTATTATTAAATTATCTTTCTTTTTACCTCAATCTCGCATCGTTTTCGCATGCTAATCCCTAGTAAGTCATGATTAGCAAATCGCCCTAAATTTGCAAATATTCCCATGCACTTAGGCAAAATGTTTACTGATAATTTATTTAAGATAAGACAATGGTTATTTGAGCAAATCGGATTAATAACCATAGATAGTCCTAGAATTTTAATAAAATTGTTTGGTATTCTTTATCTTAATCAGTTGTTTTCCTATTTAATGCTCTTATTCGCGGTCAATATATTTCAGTTCTCATTTTACCGTGTAGCTTGAATGATCTTTTCATCGAAATGGTTGCCCTCAACGTTTTAAATTTAAATGAGGACTGTCTTTATCATATATTTAAGTATCCAAGCATCAAAGACCTCATAAATCTAGCCGATACGTCTACAAGGTTTCAACAGATTTTGTTGAGTAGGCAGCCTGACTTTTATCCAGTTTTCCATGGAAACCAAGCCTATGGTAATAAGCCAGTGTTATATTACTCAACGGTGGCAATTAAACTTATGAGAATCGTATCAAAAAACGTGAAATCTCTGGAGGTGGTACAAGGACATGATTCTGATACGGAGGAGCTTGATAATGAAGTGCGAAGTTTTCAAGTTCTTACAAAAGGTAAAAACAAAATAGATCTGCGATATTGCCTTGGAGAAAAACCCAGACTTGAGGATATGTTTCGATTTTCTTCCTACAGTAAGAACTGAAACCGTACGAAAAAAGGAAAATGTATAATGTATAACAAAAATTATAGATAGATATAATTACATTTAACATTCCATTTTTATACAAAACCTTTTCTTAACCTCATAAATAAAGATGCACTGTTAAATGTTACTCAATGATTTATATATTTTCATGACTTTTCGCTCATATAGATTTAAATACGCTTTAATAAATTTGTATGCTCGCCAACGATTTCCGGTATTCAATTTAGCTGATTTACAATCGTCGTCGTCATCAGACTACATTAAAATGTATGTATCGTTAGGTAAATAATTTAAATATTAATAACATCTTGCGTTTGCACGTGTTGCACTTAAGTCGTGTATTTGCTCTGCTCTGCTCTGCTCGTCAATTACTTAATATTTCTCGTTAGTTTTATTTCAAGTTCAATTCGTTTGCTGTTGGCGTAAAATGAGTTCGAAAAATAAAAGAACTGAAACTGCTTCTTCTGAAGGGGCTTGTTGTATATGAAATAAATATTTACAAAAGTTACAATTAAAATTATGGAGTGGCGGAATGTGGCCGGTGCTCACCAAAAAACCGTGTACTATAAATAATCCTAAATGAATTGCTTACAAAAGTTTTGGATGCCTTAAGCATTTGTTAATACGTACACATATTTCTAAAAATGTTTAACTATATTACTTCGAGTTCTTGGCTTTAACATTAGTTATCGAATAGTGTTTTTGCTGTCGTTTTTTTGGTTTGGTTTAATTTGTGTTGGTTTTGAGTTTGTGTTGATGCCTGTGTTATTTTTTCTTATCAATTTGAAAAGCGGACGATGAGACATTTTATTATCGTCTCGTAATAAAATTTGTGTAGTTTTCTTTACAGTGTATGTGAGTGTGGCTGGGTGTGTGTGTGTATCTGTGAGAGGTGTTGAGTGTGTGTGGGTGAGTGAGTGATTCCCTTTACTGATATGTTTCTAAGAGGCTAACTCGCATCCTGGCTCATCGCAGAGGCAACAAAGGACAAATTCAAAGCCAGTTGTTGGACAGATCGATCGGGATAACCCATTGAGGATATACTGAAACACCAAAACCAAAACACACTCGCACGCATACACTGGAAAATGGAATGTGGGGACAAACAACTTGGGTTGCAATAATTGACTAAACACGCTCTTCTTTTTTTTTTAAGGGTAAACCCCCATCGAAGATTACCAATTTTATTGCTTACGTATTCGGAAAACGAAGGACTAGTTAACTAAACATCGATTGCCTAGGGTAGAACTAACTAACTGAACTAACTAACATACGTAACACTCATACACGCTCCATAACTAACTAACATTATATGGGTAGGGATAACAAACCACAATGAGAACTTTAGTAGTTGTGCTTTGAAAATCTCTAGAGATATTTCAAATTTATATAGATATTTCAAATTTCTAAAGGTATTTGAAATCTCTAGATATATTTCAAATATTTAAAGATATTTAAAATATATAAAAATATTAAAAATCTGTAAAAAATTAAAAAACCCTAAAGATGTTTAAAATCTCTAAGGACACTTCAAGTCTTTAAAGATAAATAAAATTTTAAATCTCTAGACATATTCAAAATCTCTAGAGATTTAGAAAGCATCTCAAACAATACAGTCTCAAAGTGCATTGTTCCCCAGGCCCCATAATAAATAACAACATTTACTATACACCCAAGCAATATTGCATTTACCCAATCTCCGGTGGCAAATCAGATTTTATCGGGGGATTTGAAGCCAAAAGCCAAGCTCTATCGATAAGCCCTAAGCCCTACACACACGCACATATACTTATAGATATAGAAACGAACTGGTTGCCGAACGATTTTCAACTACTTTTTCTTGACATTTTCATGAATTTGAACGATACGCGAACGATTTACATAAAGAGATATATGCAATGCGGATCTAATTTATCGGGATCTATTTTGTCGTACTTATACATCCCCCTTCTCAACTTCCTTCGATCTGCAGGATTTAGCGTATTTGCGTGATTTTGAAAAATAGTTCGAGTTTTATATATATCGCTTAGTTTGTATATATATATTATGTGTAAATATGCGAGTTGCAATTGCGATGCGTGTATATTCTATAATATTGTATATACTTATAAGTTGCATTCAAAATATGAATATTTCCGTTTCATTTGTTGCTATTTAGGCTTTTCTGGTGATTTCGTCTAGATACTTATTTTGTTGTTCTGCTTAGCTGTGTCCTGAAGGCGGTAAATAAAGGTTGCTCTGTACACGAGTGGATTGTTGGGCTCTGCTATTTACACTGGTAGCAATTATAGTACGTTTAGAATTATATAGTTAGTTTATGTTTTGCATTTTCTTGTAGCTGTTTGTTTGTACGACTTGCGCGGCTCTTTTTCTTTTGCTTTCGTTTTGTAAAAATACGCAGATCGAATTCCGGGGATCCATCTCCATCACTCCATCTCTAGACTAGGATACTGTTCATTGCTTTTATATAATTCACATTCCATGTTTGCTAACTTTGCTATCACTTTGAGTTTTCCCTTTTTGTATGTTTTGTGTGTTGTGGTGTGTTGTGTATTGTGTGTGGGTTTCCCTTGGAGTAGGTTTTCTCTTGTTACATTTACATTTTTCTGGGGGTTTGTATGTGTGTGGTGCCTAATTGCTACGTGCCCTCGTTCCCTGACCTCTTTGCCTCCTCGGCATCGCGTCCTTGGAGCAGGGCCCTCTGCTCGTCATTGGCCTCCGCCTCGCCCTCCTCCTCGCGATCCTCCTGGCCAGGAACAGATCCTGACACTTGGCTGGGAACAACAGATCCCGCAGCTGGCTGATCCTCTCCAGCTCGACTGCTCACGGGCGATGTGAAGGTCGTCTCCGAGTCTGTGTGGCAAGAGGGGGAGTGATTAGTAACTTGGCTATGAACATTTATCATCAAAACCGATTACACAGAATGAGTGAACGATACCTAACTCATTTTTTGTGGAGCAGAACTTTTTTGTTTAATGTTCAAGAAACTTTTACAAGCCACTTTCTTGCTTTCAAAATTATTTGGTTGATTTTTTAATTCTAAAAAATATGTAAAACAGAATTAAATTTTTTTTTTGAAAATGCATTAAAAAATGTTTGAAATGAGATTTAAAAAATTCTTTGAAATTATTAATGCAGATTTTAGCTTGACTTTATCTTAAATATCATTTAAAAAAATTTCGCAATTACCTTCAAAAAACACCATGAGTTTTACATAGATTTCTTTCTTAAAATACCAACAAGTATAAAAAATGGACTCTAAGTAAATTTTAAATTTTTTTAAATTTTAATTAGTAAAGAGAAAAAATATATTTTAATTCTAATAACCGATGTACATAAGTTAAAATGAATTTGTAAAGTTTTACTCTTTTATATCACTGTTCCATATAAAATGGGTTATTCCTTATCGATGTGCTAAACATAAAGCCGTATGTGTGTGATTCTGTGTGATGTGTATGAGTGTAAGAGTGATGAGCGTGTGATCTCAACTTCTAAAGCTGCAAAAAACATCGATCTGGCGCTTGGACCATTAATTCAAGCTGGGTGCACAACGAATTCTGGACACTGGACAGGTGAGTTTGGTGCTGGGGATAAGCACAATAGATCGGATCGGTAATACTTGTACTAACAGATCGCCCGCCCGGCGGTTGCCTTTCTCCGTGGTGTGTCAGTGTGTCAGTGTGTGTATCTGTGGGTTCATGGGGTCATGCGTATGCGGTTGTGGATTTGGATGGCGATGTAGATGCAGATGTGGTAGGGTGTAGTAGGGTGTAGTTCGGGGTTTTCAGAAGGCGGCATCGAAGACGGTGACTGACAGCCAGCCAGCAAGCGGGGGAAAACAAAAGAGACAAAAGAACGGTTGTAGATGATTTCTGGTTTCGTCATGGCCGAAAGAAACCCCAGGACGCACTTACAGGATGTGACAGAGAGAGAGAGAGACAGAGAGGGAGAAAGAAAAGGAGGGAGTAACAGCTAGCTGGCAGTGATAGAAAGTATACCCTCCATACCCTATTTGAAAATTATTTTATATAAAATGTTACTATTTACCTATTTTAGGTAACCTTAAAAAATGCACAAATGCAGTAAGAAGTACTATTTAATAATATTACGCCACATTTAGTTATAGAAGTAAAAAAACAAAAAAAAATGAAATTAACTATCGAATTAAATATACTCTTTGTAGGTAAAAGATCTTTTTTATATATGGCTAAGCTGAGGAAATGCTTAGTTTTTAGGGTACATTATAAAAGGTTTCGTTGAAAATGGAATCTCTTATATTTTTTGGTAATTTTCGGTAAAAGTGTTTTCAAAAATGTATTCTTGGTAATAGTTCTGAAATTAAACCAATATTTAAACCCCCTAAGGTGGTCCCATCACTGCCAGCTGTGTATCTCGTTTGACCACCACCTACCCAGACTGCTGTCCCTGGTCTGCTGACCATCCGCGGATGCCGCCGCCGCGGATGCAGATGCGGATGCGGATGTAGAGGAAGGGGCGCGCGAGGGGAGCGGCTTGACCTGGCGCAGCGCCTGCTCCTCGGGATATCGAGGGGTCTGGAACTTCGTGGGCTTCGATTGCAAGGTCGCTGGTCCTGAGCGCTGGTGCATTAGGGTGCGGTGCCTGAGGGGTGGTGGGGATATAGACTTAGCTAAAACTGAATGAGGTAATTTATTCGGTGAGTAATCGCTGCCGGATTCGCCCTGTAAATGTACACAGTTAATATTCGAGAACAGTATATATGATTTCAAAGCATGACCAACCATTACGGTGCCGTTGTCGGACACTCCGGAGCCGGACATGTTGTCCGCCAGGAGACGCTCGCTCTCCGGATCGGACAGGACGCGCGAGATATCAGACTTGTTTTTCAGGATCGACTTGGAGCGCCGATGGTGCTCCAGATTGGGCGAGGCGTCAATCGAGTCTATCGATGAGGAATGCTTGCTCTCGAACTTGGCTGTGAATTTAAGGCATTTAAATTTTTAAATGTTTTTACGTTTTTCTTTAATCTTTGCTGGCACTTAAATGGCTGTACATACCTTTGGCGCCCACATTCTGTATGCCAAACAAATGCTGGTTGATCAGTTTGGTGGCAGTGGCTAAGCTCTTGCCCGGCATAAAGACCGAGCGCTTCTTCTTCTGGGGTCCCTGTCCCTGGGTGCTGCCGAATCCGCTGGATGCAGGGCTGCCGGCTCCAGCTCCAGCTCCAGACCCGGATGCGGATGCCTCCGCTGCCCGAGCACCCGTCTCGTCGTCCAGCTTGGTGTCCTCGAAGCGAGCCCGAGGCCGTAGGCTGCCAAGGACTCCTGCTCCTGCACCTGCTCCACTTGGTCGCATGGCGGTGAAGCTCTGCTGGAACCGCGTCTTCCGATGCTTTGGCACTGAGTTCTCGTTCAAGCTGACCCTGCTGCCCCGCTCCTGGACATCGAAGCTCTGGTAGACATCGTCCAGGGGACTGATGCCTCCAGCTCCTCCCCCTCCCACTCCTCCTCCGCCGGAGGCCAAATTCCTCAAGGCCGTGTCACCGGAGGCGCTCTTCTTCACCTGGGCACGTAGTCCACTTGTACTGGGCAGGCCCACAATGAAACCCGTGGAGCTGCTGATCCCCTGATGATGCTGTTCCCTTTCCAGAGGATTTATGTACAGATTATCCATATCAATGTCCAAAGCACAGGCTTCATCGTTGAAATCCGCCGTGAGATCTCCTTGGGAGAGAAATGGATGCGTTTGGCAGCTGGCATAGGTATCCGAACTGTCCACACTGGCCAAATCGGCATTGTTGTTGTTGCTGCCATTGTAGTTATTGCCACCGAAGAGCAGTGAGCCGTTTGCCCCATTGCCACCCACTGTGGTGGTGTTGAAGTTGTTGTTGTAGTTGTGGTTGAAGTTGGACGAACTGCAGATGGTGGCTCCATACCGCAGCGACATCGCATCCAAGGGCAGGGCAATGGTGGTGGAGGTGGTGGTGCCATACGACGAGGATGTGGACGAGGACTGCGAGATGGCGGGCAGCAGGACGGAGGAGGGTGGCAGCGGGGGCGGCGGGGGCAGGGCCAGCAGCGGTCCCTGAAGCGGTAAAGGTAGTGGCGGCGGAGGCAGCTGCAGCGGCGACAGGAGGCCAAAGGCTCCCGCCTGACGACTCGCCTCTGCCAAACGCATCTCCAGACATATCGGCTTGTGGAAATCCGAGGTGGGCAGCGAGATCACGCCCTCCGCATCCGTGTACTCCTTGAAGTCCTGCAACGAATCGGGGTTTCCCAATGGGGATGTAAGTTGCAGATACAGTAGATACAATTCAGTGCCAAAGATAATGCCGATATGGTAGAGGTAAAGTTGACCTTTAGTCACAGATGTATTTTACCACTTTAACGCACAGTATTTAAGCCACCAAATTGCTTTCCGAAACAAAGTTTAAGGTATGGGAATACCTTTGATTTTTGAGAGATTTATTTTAACTAATTAATGAATATTCAATATTCAATTTTATAAAAAAGCATATTCACATATTGTTTTACTTTTAAACTGCTTTTACGTTCTTTTTGTAAACGTTTAATCTTATAACTGTGTTTTTCCGTAAAGGTAAAACATTTTAAGTTAAAGCTTTAAACATATCATTTAAATCTTTAAACGTATTAATACACAAAACAACAATTTTGTTTATATTGTTAAAACATAAAAATAAACCTGTACCATATCGGATTTATCAGTAAACGAAGTAAGCTCATATTGACCATCATTTCGTACATATTTTTGTGTATTTGCGGAATGTTTTTCTGGCTGCTTGTTAGTGTCTGATTTAGTTTGGTGTACCTGTTGTCTGGAGTTAGCTTTTTATTTGTGTGCGATTTGTTTCTCTATTATTTCGCTTAAATAACAAAAATTAACATGCAACTAGGAGGCGCCAACGTGCAGCTCTATTTATCGTTAAATAAATTAATACAAAGGCAGTGCGAGTGCTCAACTTGTTATTAAAGGCATTGAAAACTTTGTTTATTATACTGAAATTTGGCATGTAATAATATGTCTTATTCCAAGAAAATACATGTATTGAGACAAGAAATAAAATTGATTGTGAAAATTTAATAGTATAACAAGATACATATATACTTTAAAATTAAATAAGGCAAATTATATATTGTATTAAGGAAGTGTACAAAGATACACATCTGCGTAATTCCCAAGTTGAGCAAACGCAAGAAAATGAATTTTTTCAATATTCAGACGTGGGAACGTCTTACTTACCAAACCGATAGGAGCTGCCTTTGAAGTGGTTCCATAACTCGAACGTTTAATTATAGTTAAACACTCTAATTGAATTTTTAAACCGATACCAAAACAGAAAAATTTCTAGGCGAGCAATACGGAAACAATCAGTAGAAGAAGTGGAGTGCCAAAAATTCGAGTGCGAATATAGGTAAAGTTGAACAACAAAAATAGATTCGTTTGTTTGATTTGTAATTTTATTTGCAGAATTTTTTCATTCGGCTTGTGGTTTTCTTTGTTTTGTTTGTTTTGTTTTGGTTGAGTGATAACAGGAAATAAACAACTAATAATGAAGAGAGCGTTTACATTGGTTGTTCAAGTAACTAAACAATTGTATTTTGTTTTGTATTCGTGTTTCATAAATATTTTCGTTGCTTATGCTGGTTTTATTGGTTTTAGACGATTTGCAAGTTGCAGCTACTATAATAGAAGGCTTAGGCCATTTTGCTAGGATATAAATAGGTATTAGGCTAGTTGTTGTAATTACGTGCTTAAGTAGTGTAAATAAAAAGAATCGATTTAAACTTTCGTCAAGGCCTCAAGCTTCGGTCACTTGGTACACACACACTTTAAATTAAATTAAAGTAAATTAAATTAAATAATAACACATGCTGCTTTGCTTTGCATTGCTCTCTCCTCTCCTGGTTGCGTTTTAGATGGTAGATTAGGCTTTAGTTAATTTAATTAAATTCTTAGAATTCGCTATGTCTTTGTTTAGCTTTCACGTCACGTCACGCCAGGCCCGTTTCGATAACAGTAAGTAACAATAATAATAATCGTAGCAGTAATAATAACATTAAGTAGTAATTTGTTGGTATTTTAAAGCTAGTTAATGTCTAATCGTAATTCGCTCTTCCGGTCGCGCATTCGATGCGCACCCGGCATACTAAGTATTTCCGATTTCTCTATATATATGGTATAGTTTGGTATTTTGGGAACTCATCAGAATCAGAATCAGATCTGGCTAAACGCTATTCGCGCGCAATGGAATACACTCGCCATGGCATCCCGGCAAACCCTTTAAGAAAAGAAACGAAAAAGAAACCAGGTCAAAACATAAAATTTTCATTTCCAATCCAATTCCAATCGCACAGGAAGCCAAAATCAAAATCAAAAGTAACTCAAAAGTGTAACGAAACGATCTGAAAACGAAACGATCTGAAAAAAGGGACAACACGAGTTTTTTTTTTGTTACTGGGTTGTGTTACCATTCATAGATCATGGGTATGCCATTGACCCTATACCATTTATAGATCATAGGTAGTATATGTCGATGATGCCCTGCTCGAGCATCCGCTTCAAGGCCATATAGTTCTTGGGCGAGGGTGGCGGTCGGGCCAGCCGCTTGATGCTATACTCCTTATCGTGGAATACGCAAATGCGATCCTGCAACAAGGTTCGTTTCGGTATCGGTATTGGTATCGGTATCGGTATCGTTTGCGCTGCTCTAACAATCCAACTACTTCGGGTCGAGTACGGGGTCGCCTATTGTTTAGAAGGACCTATGCAAGAAGCTCAAGTCTCTACTAATTTATATAAGGAAGTGTCACAGAAAACTCAAGAGAATGGTTCCCTACCTAACCAGATTGATTATTATCATTATACTAATCATTAATCATAATCAGTATTTTGATTTAATTTTTACTTCCATAAATATGTTTAAGACATAAATTTGTTCTTTATGTAATGTTTTAAAATAAATAGTAAAATAACAATACTTTCTTTGTTGCAATTAACTTTTTTTTTTAAATATGTACCTTTTATTAAGTCAGTCTATAATAATCGAAATTTGTTGTAACAAAGAGGCAAATGTGTGCAAAATGTTTTAAAAAATCCTTTAAATTAAGATTTATGTGACACCCCTATAATCAAAAGTCTCGTATGGACCGGAGTTCGATATGCTGGGGTTAACAATTTCACAGTCTGCCAATGGCGGTAATGCGGCGCTATATACAGGTTGAGCATGATTTTAGTTCGGTTTAGTTGAGATTAGTCGAAAACGGAACGAAAGAGCAATGATAAGGGTAATCGGGGTGCAGACATGCGACTTAACATAGAGCACATTACAAGGAAAAGCGGCTACATCGAAGTGGGCACACTCAGCTACGTGGACGGGAATGGATCGAATTGAATTCTCTCCCTCGGTTACCTTGGTTGTGCAGAAACAGCACTCGAATTCCACGGGCACGTCCTGCTCCAGGTTGTCCATTCGCTGGTTCTGCAGGTTCTCCAGAGCCACCTGACGTCGCAGCTCGGCCACTTCCTATAAATAGTTGGGTATTTGGGGATGGTGGCATCACGTAAGTGGTGTTTCGATAGGCAGCGATCGTTAAGAATCGGAATATATATCTATAGGCTTATGTACGGTAAGATCACCGGAGATGCAGGTCATGCCGCATGCAGAGCAAATCTCGGGATTAGAATAGTTAGGACTTATTTTTCGGCAAAAGGTTAACAAGAAAAATGGTAAAGTAATCCTGTATGCATGCGGCTTAAGCTGTGTGAGGGTGTCGGTGTTTGTAGATTGCTGGTAATGGTGATTTTAAGACTAAAAGTATGCTATGGAGTTGTTCCCATTAGCCAGTTTTTCTAAGAACAAGTAAAACAAACTAAACGTGATGTTATCTCAAACCCACATTCCAATTAACCTTGAATGACATTTGATAACAATTTAATTTTTAGAAATATATTTTTTAATCAAAATGTATTTATTTTATATTTGAAGGCCAACTCAAACAATATTTTTACTTCATTATTTTGAAATTATCATCTTTACAACAAGTATATTTTTAAGTTTTTGTGCCATATGTATTTGATATTCAAGAACTCTTTATGTAAACCCAGTAAGTCAAAGCATAAATTTCATACATCCCTCGATCTATTATTTCGACTGAAAACTGTAGAAAACTAATGAAAGAGATACTGCCGAGAATTTATTACCCAGCTCAATGGTTGCTGCCACAAAACCCGACTCAAACTGGTCTAAATGTGCTCTAAATGCGCCTAAGCAATCTCCATTGGATCGGTGAGCTTAAGTCTTTTCCTGGAAAATAATATTTATTGTACCCTTTCAAGTGTCTATAATTATCTGCGCAATCGGCATAGAAGGACAACCAAGCGGTATGAAAAATCGCGGAAGGTTCGTTTCTTCACTGGGCGGTGATTTCGAGGCGGAGACAAATGGAGTTCGGAGAATGGAGCGATCTAATTCTGGAGGACTGCTGGAAGCTGATACTATTGGTGGGTAGATCACAGTGAATTAGGGTAGAATTTCAGGGGCTTATCCCACAGCTGCGGTCAAAATAAAAGTAGCTTATCAAATTAGCAGTCGAAAATAGTTTAAAAGTTCCTTTTTTTTCAACAGCTGCCGGCATGGGAATTCAGGCTGCGGATCCAAATGTAATGAGCTCCTGCCAAATCCTTCCGAATCCCGCCGCCCCAGGCTCAGCTATTTGCGACTTCTATCAACCCAACTGGCAGACGCAGCAGTTGGAGCTGCAGCCGCAACCGCTGCAGCAGCAGGCATGTCATTCGAGCCGGATCAACCAGGGGACACCCAATGCCTACACCGAACAGGATGAGATCGAGCAGCGGCGCCAGGAGTTGCGCAATCTCGTCCAGCATTTGTATGTGGCCCAGGCGAGGGTTCAACTGGAGGCCACCGAGATTAAGAAGGCGCAGTCGGTGGCCAGTTCGGCTCAGTCGCAGCTGGAGGAGTCGGCCAACCATGTGAGGAGCATTACCGCTACATTGCACACCGCCCAGCAGGAAGTGGCCGCCTCGGCGATTCGGGCCCAGATTGCCCAACTCCAGTTGGCCGCCCACGATCAGCTTTTGTTTGCCGCACGCCAGGATGTGGATGCGTTGTCCTCCCAAATGGTCGGTCTGCAGGCCGCCGAGGGCATTGTCCAGCCAAAGCTCACAGTGGATCTGCACGCTCTGCTGGAGAAGTTGAAGCAGCCACTGCAGCAATATGATCGCCCCACCGCAGTTCCAGCCATTTCTCCCAGTCTCCCAGGAACAGCAACCCATCAGCACCAGTTTCTCAAGCAGCAGCAACAAATGGGTCAGGCACAAGGTCAAGGGCAGGGTCAAGGTCCTCTCAACCCTGCCGGTGGAGGAGTAGTCGGTTCCAGTGACTTCATCAGCCTGCCCAGGGTTAATGTGCCTCCCTATGTCACTTAGCTGCCTTTAAACAATTACATCTGATTACCTCTGCCTAAGTATTTATTTTTATTTTATTTAATATTTATTGTACTTGTTTGCTTTCCATAAAACCATATATTTCATTTAAAAATATTAGTGTGTATATTACCTAGCTTCTAAAATTCCTAACTAAATACTTAGATCAATGGTCCCCACTTTAAACATTGATTGTAATTTGAATAGTATATATCTTGTGTGGTCGATTCACTATAACCACCTTTTTTCTATTTTTGATAATTCTTTTTTCACATTTTAGTTTAAATTACCCTATATAAAGAACAAAAATATTTTCCTAAACCACTTTTGTTAGTACAAGTACAATTTCTTTAATTACTCCCTGAGCTTTTTATCTATGGTTCCCAGTTAGTTTTTGTGTTTAATATAGATGGTTTATATATATTATGTTTTAAATGTATTTGTTTTTTGTTATTGATTCAATACAAGCATTTAAAGTTGTCCTGTTTCTTGTTTTTATTCCTAGTAGTTCTTACTATCTTGTTTAAAAAAATTTATTAGCTTTCAATGATTAAGAGTTGATGATGGTGATAATTTAAATGAACCGATCTACTACAATAAGACCAAAACTGTTTTCCTTAACAACTTTTATTATTAGGTGTAAATTTGTGTAACTGTTTGGGAAAAAATGTGAGTTGATGGCTTAGGAAATAAGACTGCTTGAATTCGCAATTTGTAAAATTTACCAAATAATAGGGTTTTTGCGCTGATGAATATTATTTTCTTATAGAAAGAGAGGAACTATGAAGTTAGCAGAGCAAAATAATTAGCTTACAGACTGAGAAAATGTTAAAGGCGGAATCAAAATTATAAGGACTAAAACTATTTATTCTTCAAAGAAAAATCCTTTTACAAAAAAAATGTATGTCTACAATGTACACATAAATTACTTTTTCCAAGGCGGCGAAAATAGTTCAGATTGATATAATATTTAATTTTCTTTAAATCAAATAAAAAATTTGACTGTCATAGACACTTTCAATATGGAATATAGAAATGAAATCCATTCCTGGCCATTCGTTAAGTAAACCAGCACCTATAACAAACCAACTAAAACCGAAAGCAATGTATATAAATATCGAAGAATTGAAAAATGTTTTAAAATCATCAGTTCTATGCAGTTTTTCTGTTGGGCATTCGATCAGATAGGCATTCATTTAGATATGACAAATCCGCAAATGCAGTTGCACGTTCGCCCAAAAAAAAAAATAAAATATTTGTAGCATGGGTTCAGCCACTGAAAAGAAGACAATCAATCCGCAAATCCATTCAAAATCAATCAGTAAATATTAAAGATATTATAGCTGTGGCACAAATGCATTCGAGTTGAGTAGAGTAGAGTATTAGAGTAGGTTGAGTTCTTTGTGTATACTTTGAATGTACCTCCTTACTGCGTCCCCGTAAAATCTAAAAGTTGAAATGTGTGAATGTTGTTAAAGAACTTGGTTTTGTTCTCTTAAGGTTTTATTTATTTTTCTGTTTTTTTTTCTGTTAAATTTTTTTGTGGTGGTTTGAATTTGTTTAAGAAAATCAAGAGAGAACATGAAGCTGACTAGAGGGATACTAAGGACTACAAAAAGAGGCCGCCAATGTGGTTAACTCAAGAATACTCAACCGAAGGACACCAAAGATATATGTGTGGTTTACAAGAACTGAAAAGTTAAAACAAATTTACCCGACTTAACACAGTTGGCAAATGAGAAGGAACCAAACGTGAGTAATAATTGGGATATAATTAGAATTATTTAGAATATATTTCGATCCAGTTCAACGGCTTCACATTTACTAATACATAGGATTACGATTTAGGAACTTTGAAAACATTAAGATATTCAAGAAATACGATTGCGAGTATGGCAATGAGTAGGTATCTCCCCTTAATTCGCAGACTTACCCCGGGCGTGATCATCATCTGGATGGGTAGTCCCTTTGCCTGCGAAAGGTTGTCGTCATCGGCCACGCCCTCCTCCCCGCCGCCGCCGTCGCCGCCGCCTCCTTCGGCGACCTCTGACCCCGGGGCGGTGTTACTGGAGCTGGCTGTGGCCACAGCAGTTGCCGCACTGGAAGCAGCCACAATGGCCAGATTGTTGGCCACTCCCGATCCGGTTGCTCCTCCATTGGGTGCTGCTTTCTGCTGCATCTGTTGCATCTGCAACATCTGTTGCTGCTGCTGTTGCTGCTTCTGCTGCTGCTGCTGCTGCTGCAACAGCAACGCCTGCTGCTCGCGGCGATAGCTCTCCATGGCCATCATCGAGGTCTGGCGGGCATTGGGATTGTCGAAGTTGTAGGGCGGCACTGCATCCTGCTCAGAGCTGGAACCGCGACGCTATGCAAATGAGAGGATAATGGGTTAGTATACTTTTCGGTAAAAATTTGAATCACACACACTAACTCCATCTATCTTATGGCGCTTTTACGGGGCGTACTTACAACACGCGATTGCAATTTATGGAGTAAGAAACCAATAATTAAATCAAGATGGTGGTAAGACGTATTAAAAGTTAATGTATCTATTTGTATTCGTCAACAACTGCAAACAAATTTGCGTTCAAAATATATTTGAAAATTTTGGGTCGAGTTTTTGTACTTCTTATGTGAAACTCATTTCAAAATTTCCGAAAAAATCGTCTTCTCAGAAAAGTGACCAAAAACCTGCAGAATTAAATCCATAACTTTTATTTCCGCCATCCGATTTCAAAGTGGTATGTCTTTAAAGTCTTATGGCTTAACCCTCCAAAAACATGTATTTAAATTTTGTTTAAAAATTATGATTTGTTATTTTTTCGAATTATCGTCTAAATTAATAACCGAAAAATAGCTTTGCAGAAAAGTGACCAAAGGTCGGCAGTCTAAAATCTATAACTTTTCTGTTAAGTATCCGATTTCGAAGTGGTATATCTTAATGGTCTTGGTGCTTAGTTTTCTAAAAAACTGCGTTTTAATCTTGATTTGTCAATTTGGGTCGATTTTTTGCAATTTTAACGATGTTACCCCTTTCAAAATTCCCGAAAAAATCGTTTTCTCAGAAAAGTGACCAAAAACCTGCAGAATTAAATCCATAACTTTTAATTCCGCCATCCGATTTCAAAGTGGTATGTCTTTAAAGTCTTATGGCTTAACCCTCCAAAAACATGTATTTAAATTTTGTTTTAAAATTATAAATTGTTATTTCTACGATTTATCGTGTAAATTAATATCCGAAAAATAGCTTTGCAGAAAAGTGACCAAAGGTCGGCAGTCTAAAATCTATAACTTTTCTGTTAAGTATCCGATTTCGAAGTGGTATATCTTAATGGTCTTGGTGCTTAGTTTTCTAAAAAACTGCGTTTTAATCTTGATTTGTCAATTTGGGTCGATTTTTTGCAATTTTAACGATGTTACCCCTTTCAAAATTCCCGAAAAAATCGTTTTCTCAGAAAAGTGACCAAAAACCTGCAGAATTAAATCGATAACTTTTATTTCCGCCATCCGATTTCAAAGTGGTATGTCTTTAAAGACTTATGGCTTAACGCTCCAAAAACCTGCATTTAAATTTTGTTTAAAAATTATGATTTGTTATTTCTACGATTTATCGTCTAAATTAATATCCGAAAAATAGCTTTGCAGAAAAGTGACCAAAGGCCGGTAGTCTAAAATCTATAACTTTTCTTCTTTTTGAAAAATGACTTTTAGATCTTTAAGGAGTCTTTAAGTTTAAGGACTCATTCCAGTCCTATTTATCTAAATAGAAACCAATGGAACCTGGAACCCAGTGAAATCCGGACATCCTGTTTCTCAAATTCCCAAAAAGGGGAATCAGGCAGGGGCTGGACTTACGTGGTGCAGGTTGGAGTTGCGCAGGTTGGCTACGTGGTCGTAATTCTTGTAGCAGCCGGTGCCGGTGGTGGCCGGATTGCGTCCGCTGGTGGACTCGCCTTCGGTGCTGTTCCCGTCCGTTTGCGAGAGATTGTGGCCTGTGGGCGATCGGCGGAGCGCGTGGGTTAAACGGTGCCAATTTTTGAGTGATCGTGTGTGACTCTCGCGTTTCTCTGCTTGTTGGTGTGGTGTGTGTTTCAGTGTGGGTGGGTGTTTTTTTTTGGGTTATATGTTCAAATTCACGATCAATTTTTTTTTTTTTTTTTTTTTTCGGTTTTACGCAAAGAAGCCATGAATGCATTTTGTCGCCAGTTTCGTTTCGCATTTGTTAAGCGAGTGGTGGCATATATACACAGGGTCATATATTTCGTATATATAGTTTTTAATGAGTTAGGATTTTTTGGATTTGTTTGAGGTTTGTTCGGAGCGCAAATGAAGGTGTTTTATTTTTGTTTTTTTTTTTTTCGTTTCAAACCAAAAGAGGGGAAAAAAGAAAGAAAAATGAGTTTCATGAATGTATTTTTTTATTTTTCGCTATATTTTTGGTTAATAATTGTTACGACGACGATGACGACGGCGACCACAAAGACTTTGGGGGCTAAGTTAAGTTAAGTTTAGTGAAAATACAGTGAGAACAACATTGAAGAACGACGTCTATAGTTCTGGGTTAAGTTTAGGGCTTACTCTTGAGTGGGATTAAATGGATTAGAACAACATTTAGTTAACTGGTGATGCTAATGGCTGGTAAAAACTATTAGAGCTCTAATTTATAGTTTGTTAAATGATTGGCATTATATTTAGTCAAAGAGTTAGTAGTCTAATTAAACTAGTGGTTAGATTTCTATGAAAAATAATTTGTACTATGTGTAAACGGAAAAGTAAGTCCTGTGGATAAGTAACCAATATTTTGCTATTGAAATTGAGGTGAGGTAATAGTTTACTGATTTAAATGAAAGTCCTGCTGAATTATACCTTCATTAATTTAACCAATATTTTCCTTTTAGAAATTAAGCTAAAAGTTTTATTTTTAATGAAAATGAATTTATTTATAGTATAATAATTTTTAAAAGGAATGTATTTTGCAGAAATTAAAAAAATTTGTCTCTTTCAAAATGTATAACTGTTTTTTCGGAGGAATATAAATTGTATAACAAATTTAATTAAAAACACTTTTTGTAACTAAGTATCTCTTGTGAGTGTTTGAAGTGTCAAGTGCTTTAAATGGACGCGGCAAAACAAATGTGCGAAACATTAATCTTTTAGTTGTTATTCTCAAATAGACAAAATTCCGATTCATGGTCATTTACGCCATTCAGGTTCAGGTGTGTGATCTTGTTTTATTATCACGAAACAGAAACAAAATGTAAATGAGTGAAATGGCGTGGAGGAATACGGCTCCTTATGCGTCAGAATGAATTGCGAGTTTAATATTCCCCTTTTACTCTGGCCCTTTCTGCATTCAAAGCTTGAACTCAAACTCAGGTCAAGCTTTAAACACCAAATATATATATATGAATATCGATATTGGATTAGCTGGTACAATGAAATAATACAGCGCAGTTGGGTTTTGGTTTTATTGCTAATTTCACAGACACACAAAGTTGTTTACGGCTTTAACAGTAGTACACAAAAGTACGAGTACAGTACACAGTTATTCATTTGGGTTAGAACGAGTACGAGTACGATTACGAGCACGAGTACAAGTGAGTATTCATATTCAAATTCATATTCACTATATGTTCTTGTTCGATCATACATGGCTTGAGCATAAAGATAGCGTACACAGTTTCTATAGATTAGTTTATAGGATTAGAGCATGCAGCGCCTTAGATAGGATTTAATTTTGGAACGGAAGCGTTTATAATGTGGAAACGAAAGTTCGAGGACACATACACATATATAAGTAGGTTACAAGTAAGGAAAACAGAAGGAAATGGAAAAATATTAAGTAAAAGGCACGTAAAGGTTGTTTATTTTCTATATCTTCTTTCAGGACTCTAGCTTCTTCGAGCTCAATGATAGAAATGTTTGAACTATGTGGAAACTCAAGGCAAATCATAAGTAAATTTTTCAAATATCACACACAAAAAAAGGTTTTCAAAATCTGTATGTTCTATAATTTGTATATAATTTGGTTCTTTTGAACCGCTCAGCTCGCGTATTTATATCGGTATAACTTGTTGGGCTTACAATTTAACAAAACTTCAGCTTTGGTTGTGTTCGGCCTGCTCTATCTTAAAGTATTTTTATATATGGTTGCAAACTAGGAGCAATTCGCTTTAAATAAGGCAATTTTTTTTGTTTTCCGTTGTGGTATATGCGTTTTTAGGAACGTATCGTCATCTCTTTCGCTAAGTTCTCTTGTCTCTACATTTTGGAACGAGTATATTTCATTGGTATACCTAATGCACGCTATATATCGCTGATGCGCTCTCTAAATTAAAAACTAAAACTAAGCTTACCCTCTCACAGCTACAACAACTAATTTCATAAATAAGGCTTGCTCTGTTGTTGTTCGTTTCGTTTTTTTCTGGTTTTTTTTCACATCCCTTTTTGGGTTTTTCGATTTCGATTTGGTTTTGGTTTTTACCTCATGGCGACCACTTGAAGTGCTTTCTCAAGTCCATGGAGGGAATTCTTTTGACTAGTGCGCTCGATAAATGCCTTCTTGGAGTTTTACATAGAGGTTAGGCCTAGTTAATTGCTAAGATTTAGACTAAATCAAAATTGTGCTTACGCGGATTGTATTTTCAGAGTTCGGCTCTCTCTCGAATGGCGTGTTGTGTTAGCATATATTCTGGATTGGGATACATGGGAGGAATATGGCGATTCCTGGAAGATTTCGCTCACACACATGCTGCCACACCCACGACTACTGCAAATCACATTTGGGTACTTGAAAGTTTTGCTCGCGTTGCAACCAAATGGATATAGCATGAACTGGCCAGGCAATCGGTTATCGAAAATAAGTTACAACAAAACTGAGGCGAACATCAGCAAATTTGAGCGTATCTCCATTTCGTTAATGGCTTTGAATTTTTTTTAGATTTATTTTCAAGTGCTGATGGACATTAGCAAAACTTTCAATATACGATGGTACGGATGAAGCATACGCCCTTTGTTTTTTTTCTTTTCATCTAGCTCTTGGACACTTTACAAATATATAAAGTGGGTAAAAGTTAGGTGAAATAAAGACCAACAAATTAAATGTATAACATTTTTTTTGTTATAAATATAACAGAGATAAATGCAATCAAACAGAAACCACTAGTGTTTTGAAACCATTGCAAAAGGTGTTCAAAAGTAAAATAATCTTAAAGTTTCGAAACCTAAGTGATTTCTTTGGCTTCCTTAAACAAAGTATAATTTATTTTCACTTTATTGCATTTAACTCTTTAAATAAATAAATAGGGTAAACGTGGCGTATGCGCAATGCATATTTACGGGTATTTAGCAGCAGCGTGTGTGTGTGTGAGTGTGACAGCATGTATGTATGAGTTTGTGTGTGTTTGTGTGTGGGTATGAGGGCGCCTAAAAGCAGTTACATTTAATCACAACATTCAATTGGAAAATAAATCAAAAATGGAAGTACACAATTCATTTGATTTCTGATTGATTCGAAGCTTTAAAGCAAGCCTACGCATTTCGGGTAACTGCTAAACCAAATGTTGTTCATTTTTTGTTTTTTTTTGGTTTGGTTTCTTGGAAGTACTTTCGCTTAAGTCTAGGACTCTTGTGTGTGTGTGTGTGATTGATTCGTGTATGTGTGTGTGTGTGTGAGTGTGTTTGTAACAAATTGCATTTGTTTTCGACTAATTTACATATACATAATAACAATCGCCTGTCATTCTCTTAGCTAGTTTCGCTTAGTGTAGGTTGTTGTTTCTTTTTTTGGGTTGGGTTGTTGCTGCTGTGGTTGCAGCGGTTTGTCAGCGATTTCTTGGGGCGTCTTCGCCTAGCGGCTGTCTTCGTTGTCACTGGAACTATTCTGCTGCTGGGCATCCCGCTCCTCCAGCAAACTACGATTCAGCTCCTGGATTCTCGCAGAAAGCGCTCGACGACGGGGCGTGCCAAAAGAGGGCGGTGGCGGCGCCTCAATCAGCGTGTTTTTCTCGCCTAGGTCAAAATCAGCCGCATTTAATTTAATTAGGTTTTTTTTTCATTCAGTGTATGTATATTTTTTTGCAATTTTTCAAAATTCGTTTATGTGTGTGTGTAAAATGTTTTTGGTTTCGAAATGTTTGGAAAATTCAAAGGGATGTCGTGAGCGGAAAGTAGAAAAAGAAGAGCAGAGAAAAGAACACGTTGTAGGTAGATATTTTGGAGACTAGTATTGCTAGGCATATGGCATATATATACCCCAAAACGATTTCGATTCGCTAAATTACAACTACATTTGGCTAAGAGAATGAGCATATACATCATATGGTTTTATGTGTGTTTGTGTTGGTTTATTTTTTTTTATAATTGTATGTAATCAGCACTTGAAAATTTTCTAAAAATGTTTGTTGTATTTATAATAATTTTTTTTTTTTTTTTTTTTGACTTTTTAATTAAGTTTGAAATGGTAAACTCTATGTTGAGCATTCAAATTTGCTATGGTTGTGGCGGAATCAAAACAAGAATCAAGCAATGAGTAGCAAAATGTCATCATCATAATTCGCAATTCTGGGCAAATGTCCAACTGAAGTCAGCAATTAGGCAAACTCAATTTAACTGAAGGCAAACTTAAACCGAACAACACAATAAATTGCAACAGCAATTGCCTAGCTAATCACTAGATCCTTGGCTATATATACAGGACGATTCGGGGGAACTTTATATATATATATATATATATTTTGGATTCAGATTGAAGCTGTGTGGGGCGAGATTTGTTGGGATTTACCTTTAGATGTCTCTATGGGGTATTCCTTTTTTAATTTTTATTTATTTGCTACATTTCATTACTTTGATAATATTTAAATAGTATTTTTTGCAACTACGAAAAAGTTGTATTTCTACAAAGTCAAAACTAATGTTTGAAATGTAAATACTAATAGAAAATAGGATTTGTAATGGTTCGAAATTGTATGGGAATGATTTTTTAAAATTTTTTAAATCTTAAGCCCTGTAATAAAGCTGTCAAAAGGGCTTTCAAAGGTTTGATTGCTTAAATACTGTCCATAAATTTAAAAAATGAGTTAGTGAAATAAATTCAGAACAAGAATACGTTCAATACCTTTGACATTGTTATAGTCAAATATAAAACATTTCCTATTGGTGTCATTTACTATTTTAAAATCTGATTAATATTATTTTAAAAAACTGGGATATACGTGTTGATCTAATTATTTAATAGCATTTTTAATGTTTATTTTAAGAGCTTCAATTTGTAGTTCCAAATATTAGAAAGTTTCTCAATGTTTTTTAATTTCTCTACTCCCAGGGCAGCTGCAACTTTTTGTCCTTCACTTGGCTAGAAAAAAGCTAGAATAAAGCTAATGCCGTGTGAATACTCTCCCTGAACTAAGCTATATCTTTACTAAATATATACCAAGATATACTAAGAGAAAAAGACATAACTCCAAAGAGATTGAGAGAGAGAGAGAGTGTGCTAGTAAATATAGTTCATATATAGTATATATAGTACAATAGTGTGTGGCTATAGTTGGCGCGTGTGAGGGTATGTGTGTGTATCTGTGTTTCGTATCCGTGTGTCTAGGGGCTATTCAAAAGCGATTGTCAAAGGCTACGGCATTTAATAGAGTATAATACGATTTTTTGTTGTTGTAGAACGGCAAAGAGTGGACTAGGCTACGTATACGCAATGTAGTCACCTGGGGCGCTTTGCACATCGAGGGTCTGCCTGCCTATATTGGGGGTGCTTTGTCTTTTACCCTTCGGATGCACGACATTTGTTTGCTTGCCTAAAATAAAACACACAAGTCGGAGGGTTGAGAGGGGGGTTTTGGTAGGGCAGAAGGGCAAAGGGGAAAAAGGGTTTTTCAATGGGGCTTTTGGCCGGCTTTAAAGGGCCGTGCGATTCCAATGCCTACTTCTAGGCGCGCGGGCTTTTTTGTACAGCAGAGGTGTCGATTTAAGGGGGTTCTCCGGGGGTGTGTGTGTGCTTTTTACAAGTGAAAACCCCACTAATTTCCGTTTAATGCGCTAAGTACAAAAGCATTTGCCTAATTGACCATTATTGTGTGTGTTTTTTCTGTATTTGTAAGGGTGGGTCTTAGCTAAAGAACTTAAGAGTAACGCAAATCGCTTAACTAGTTTACAATTGATCAATCGAACGTAAGTCTGAGCTCGGAATAATCAAAGGTTCAACAATTTCTATCATCTTATGGCTCAGCAGTTGCAGGACTTTCGTCCCATCTCTGCTAATTGCTATTTACACGCCTCTAGGCTGGATTTTAGTTACAGCTTATTACCGAATAAAAAGTTAAACCAATACGAACTGATAGTGAAAAAAAGCCACGAACCAAAGTACATGCCAAAAGTATTCAAATTATATAAAAACGATTACTTAGACAGCTAAGGCACAAAACTACACGAGAGTAAGCAAAGTTTCAACAAAGGAGGATTTATAGGATTTTATGGTGGATGTACACAGAAAATATAGCATAAATGTGTTTTAAATAAATTAGATCTTTTTTTTTATTTATTATAAATCTGACAATGTATCAATAAAATTTATAATTTAATATTTCAGGGGATCACATGATTTAGAAGTTTACGTTTTTCGATATTGCTTTTTTGAAATATAATTTGGTTTTAAGGTTTAATTTACCAATTAAGTTTATTATTTCATAATAGTTTAATAAGGATTAAGAAATTTGAGTTAATCATAATTGCTTAGAGTCATAATAAAAATAAGTATAACAAGCTTATATTGATTTTTATTGCACAATTAATTTAAAAATATCATTTATATGATCTTTTAATCGATAAATATTTATCACTTTAAAGTTTAATTTTCAATTAAATTTTTAAGTCAACTTTACAATTGAATATATGCTTTCAATCACAATAAAAATAAATTTCAATAGCATAATTAAGTATTTTTTAAAAAGGAAATATTATATGATATTTCTTGTGTTAAGCCAGAGCTTTCAAAATAAAAAATCAGCTTTATTAATCATATATTTTTCTGTGTAGTCACTACATTTAGGTGGATAAGCATGGCATATGAGGCGTGGGATCACTGAAGCAGACCCATTGAGTCGGCTAGTTTGGTTTTAGTTTTAGATACGTAAGCAAGGCACATTCTTAGATATATAGATAACATAGGTAGATGGGTATATAGGAAAACCAAGTTAGATCTTACCTGTGTCGACAATCACATCGATGAGATCCATGGACTTGGCGAAGGCATCTTTCAGATTGATATGATGGAAGGAGACAATGCTGCCCTCGCGCTTGGCACGATCAAGTGCCTCGCGCCGCTTGAGGGCCTTTTCGCGGCGCATCTGATTCTTATAAAATTCAGCAAAATTGTTAACGATGATGGGAATAGGCAAAGCGATTACCAGAACACCGCATATGCAACACACAGTACCAATAACCTTTCCCAGTGCAGTTGTGGGATAGATGTCCCCGTAGCCAACAGTTGTCATTGTAATACCCGCCCACCAAAATGTTTCCGGTATTGAAACGAATTTTGTATCCTTTTCATCCTTTTCGGCAAAATATGCCAGCGAAGAAAATATGAGAACGCCCATGGCCAGGAACAGCATTAGTAGACCGAGTTCCTTATACGAGTTACGCAGCGTAAAGCCTAACGACTGCAGGCCCGTTGAGTGACGGGCCAGCTTAAGGATTCGCAGGATGCGCATGATGCGAAAGACCTGCACCACCCGACGCACATCCTGGAACTGGTCCGTTGCATTCTTATTCGTTTCCAATAGAAATAACGAAACAAAGTATGGGAGTATTGCCAATAGATCGATTATGTTAAGGCCGCCCTTAAAGAACTTCCACTTGTCCGGCGAGGCGCTAAACCTAAGTATGTACTCTAGAGTGAACCACGTGATACACACGGCCTCAACCATTGCCAATTGCGGATTATCCTGTGGTGTACCGTTGTCAATGTGTTGTAGTTGTGGTAGGGTGTTCAACGTCAGGGCTATGGTAGACAGGACTATGAATAGTATGGATATCACTGCGATAACCTGCGAACGGTAAAGAACAATCGAGACTTTGTCGAGACCATGATTCAGCAACGATTCAATTTCAATGCAATCAAATCAAATCACAACGATAATAGGTATTTGGGGTAATTGATAATTGGTTTTTTTTTGTTTTTGGTAGGCACATAACACGTTACGTTCATTCAAATATCAAGTCTGTCTTTTATACACATCTAATTTGGATATTTGTATTGGTAATTAATCGAAAAAACACAGTTACAACAATCAGCAAAGTAGAGTTCACTTTGATTCTGTAATGCTATCTTCTGTTCGGGGTTAAGTAAACATTCGGTTAGAGTTCTGCTTTTCTTGGGGTTTTGTTAGTCGAAACTCAGGGGTTAGGAACTTGGTTGGCTTTCCTAATCAGTTTTTTTTTTTTTTTTGTACTTTTCAAAGGCTAGTACAGTATGTGAAGTATATATTTATTCGTCGTGAATCCTTCTTCATCGAAAACAAACCATAAAGTGAAACCAAAGGTTGGCAACAAACTGAAAATCACACAAACGCAAAATATGGGTTGGGTATTATATATTCTATTGATCCTAGGTCTCGAAGTTTTGGGGTCTCTAGTCTAGATCAACTCTTTCTCTGGATGGTGTGGGTGTAAGTGGTTGAGTGGTAAGTGGTAAGTGGTAGGTGGTTCTGTGGTAAGTGGTAAGTGGTTCTGTGGTTAGTGGTTTGTGGTTTGTGTGAGTTCTCTGTTTTTTGTGGGGGACAGATCACATGACGCAACACAAGGACATTACACACCTACATACATATTTCATACTATACGTGTGTGTGTCTAATTGGTTCTATATTATGGTATGAGGGTGAACCAAAATGGGGCACTCCGTCGTTAAATAAGAGACGCTACCCTTGGGGACTGCAGTCGACATTATTTTTATATATAATCCTTTCAATATATGTAGTCCTCAGAAATCACCGATTCAAACGCTGTTTTGTGTATTTGTTTTTTGGGTCTGACTTGTTTTCTCATGGTAAATAATATTTAGAAAATCAAATTTATAAGATAGTTCTAGCAAATGACAAAAGGAAGAAATCCAAATCTAATTCAAATCCAAATGCATATAACTTTCGTACCAAACGAGCAAGGAATTACAATTACGAGACAGAGGGTATTCCAAATCAAATCAAAAAGTGTAATCAGATTAGGAATTAGAAATCGCCAATCACAGGCCATCAAATAATTGCATCTGTCACGGAAAAACAAACAAATACAGACCGTGAAATTATGCATTTATTTGCGGGCCACAACGATTTCGTACGTTTCTGTAAACAAACACACTTAAACAATTTTAATTGCTTGGCTCTAAATAATACATTTAATTTACCAAAAACTGCCAATTGCAGATTGAAGTCTTGTCGGAAGGGTGAAAGGGGGGAGAAAATGGATTTTCCGGGGGACAGAATAGAAGGCTTGTCAGAAATGCAAATTTCAATTGCAATTTTCAATGCCACATTAGGTCAAATGGTTGAGTGTTTTTATTGGGTGGAATGTTTGGGTGTGCGTGTGACTGACATTCGAGAGGGAGATAGAGATAGAAAGAGAGATAGAGATAGAGAGTGAGAGAGAGATAGGTTGAACATATTGGACATGCCACGCCCCCAAAAGTGGTATGCATAGATAACTCTGTTCTGTGATTGTCCAGATCTACCATAGTAGGCCACTGTACGCAACCACGCAGTTCTGGTTTCGGAATCGGATTCGGAATCGGATTTGGTTTCGGAGTAGGATTATGGATTTTGGGGTGTTTTTTTTTTATTTTCGAGGAAGGAGTGGGAAAGCTGAATTTCATAGTTCTGCTTCGTTGGATGAGCTGACTTCTCTATTTATGGCTTATATATGGCTTGCTACGTATAGATACAAAAAGTTAAAGATACAGATTATGCAGTTATTAGACAAAAGATACATAGAGTCAAGAAGGAGTCATTACGTAAGGATACACGAAACAAAACAAACTCATAAAATATAAAAAGGAAATGAAAACCGAAAAGAGAGAAAACATTTGGATGGTGCTAGTTAGCAACGATGAGAAGTAGAAAAAGTACAGATACTAGATACTAGATAGTAAGATAGTAAGATACTAGTGCGAGAGGGCACCTAAAGGGGATTTTGGAAATAGCGAAACAGGTCTTGTACATAGAGTTTGTATTTAAGATGTTCTTGCATTGAAGTGGTCTTTGGTCTTGGACTGTCAAACTTCGGGAAAGTTAATTAAATTTCCATAGTTTTTTTTTGGGGGGAATTGGGGATTGAGCGTGGCGAGGGGACGAGGGGGCGAGGGGGGTTTCAACAATCTACTTGAGATGGCGGTGAGGCTTTACAAACTAATTTACTTTCGATTCTTATTTCGCTTTCGATTGAACAGAATGCATTGGAGTTGGGTTTCGTAAACAAAAAATTTGTGTGCGAATTATATATCACTTTTTGGTATACTGTTGTTTTGGATTTTGGAACTGCTACCATTGCTGCTCAGTCATGAAGGTGGTTTTGGGGGGAGGGGGTTTTTCGGAGGTTATGGAAGGGGTTCGCTGGGTTGAAAGTAAAACATGATTTCGCAATACTCCTAGCTGGCTTACTTGATCACAGTCTCCGTGGGAAATACGAAAACTCAAAAGGTAACTGAAAACGCTCTATAACTCACAACATCTACAAAGTTCAAAGCGAGTAGCGAGTCGCCAAAAGCGGTTTCTGCTGCTTGAGGCCTACAAAAATCAAAATATCGTCTATAAAGCCGCTGTCAACAGAGCCACAATATTTACAAAAAAAAAACTCAAAGCGAGAAAGGAAGCTGATCGTCGGTGGACCGACCATTTAAATACTTTTGCAAAGTGTAAAGGTTTTGCTTAATTAATCTAAAATGTTTTAGTTTATTAAAGATAAGAACTTTTTTTAAATAAGTTAAAATTTTAAAGTTTTTTCAAGTAAAAATTGCACTAAGACTTTTCAAGCTTTTAAAATTTTGAATATTGAAGTTTTGTAAATTTAACAATTTAAATTTATGAAATTTTAATTCATTGAATAACAGACCACTTGGAATCTTTGCAATTGCATCAAAAAGGAGAACAAATTTGAATTAACTTCCCTGAACCTGGCTGAAATCCACTTGAAATACAAGTAATGGAAAGTCGATGGATAACAGAACAAGATCTCGGGGTGGAAGCAAAGTGAAAGGAGAAAGGTAAAGGTGACCAGTGAAAGAGTAGTGATGAGCTGAGGTAGTGGAAAAACAAGGACGAAAAACAGTCAAAAAACAATTCATGCGATAAGAAAAGTGGGGGACAAAAGAGTTTATTCTTAAAGATATAGAGACTATAAAATATATGATAAATATACAAATTTACAAAGGTTTTAAGGGCACTCATCGCACAATCGCTGTACATACAAAACTAAATCTAGATCAAAAAGGGTAAACTTCAGGTCGTAAGAATACCAAATACCAAAACTAAAAATCACATTCAATTTAAATTCAAATTAGGGGAGTGCAAAACTCTGAGGTTTTTTGCTCAGTGTCGGCGTGTGTTTTGGTGTGTGTGTGTGTATCTGTGTGTCTTTGGAAACTGAGTTCCGGCTAAAATATTTGATCAGGTTTGCATTTGGTTCACGTGGAGTGTTATTTTTTTTACGCGTTGTACGTTTTGTGGTTTCGTTGTTTTTCGGTGTTTTTTTTGGGTTTTTTTTTTTACTGGGGGTGGGGGAAAGTGGGGTGTGGGTGGTTGGTTTTTTGGTGGGTGCATGAGTTGGTTCGCATACTTTATTCGACTCACTAAAAAACAAACAAAATTCGATACAAACGGCTATAGAATTCAGTACGAATCGACTACGAAATTCTATACTAGTGGCATTCAAATGCAGCAAATTTGGTGGGTTAATATTTCAAGAAGGAGATTTGGGTCGATCGATGTTTATTTTATATTTTGGGTACGGGTCTCGTATACCAAAATCAAAAGACTAAACTAAAACTGAAAACGGAAACGGAAACAGAGACGATGAATTTTGCATTTATTCTTTGTGGACTTGGATGGAAGATACATAGTTCTCCGATTGAATGCTGATTTAAAGAGGGGGCTAAGACATCGAAGGCACCGCAGACATAGTTTCTCCAAGTGTATTTTATTTGTGTGTGCGTGTAAGTGTTTTGTGTTTCTGTTTAAGTGTCAAAAATTGTAGGTAATCAATAGACCAATAGCTTACAAAGGAAGTTGGTTAAAACACAATAACAACGAGAGTTAAATAAATTTCTTCCATATGCAATACACACGAGTTTACAACATGACATCAAATATAGTATATAAGAAAAGAATACGAGGGTTTATATACGACATACAGATATGTACATATATCATCGCCAATGGAAAGGAAAAGAGTTGAACAAAAAAGGCAAACAACAAAACAACAATTTGGATATTATACAATTCCAGTTTTGTTATTGTTGTTTTTGTGGTGTATTTATATAGTATAACAAATAAAATAAACGTTTTTGAATATTTTTGGAGTATTTGTTTGGGTATTTTCTGTTTTTTTTTGTTTGTCTTGTGAGCGCGCTTTGGTTTCTTGCTGAGTTGTTTGTCGCTTTCAACGAGGCGAAGATATCAACTGAGTTTTCTTTTTCTAACTTATTATTAGAGATCAGAGCTAGTTGTTGGTTCTCATATTTATCATTTCGTTGAAAAAAGGATGTGTTTAGGCGTGGTATTAAAAATAAACTAAAAAAGTACAGAAATAAAAATCTTGGTTAGCTTCTTCTTTCTCTCTGACGGAAAATCGAGTTAGTAGTTGAAGAAAAATCATAAATAAAAATACGATAAAAAGTACAACTGGCAAAGGGCTCTGGAAATTTTTCATTACCTTTTAAATCGAAATAAAAAGGTTTAATAAAACGCTTAAATAATAGTTCATATGAAATGGTTATGCTCTTGCGAAACTCTAAATAAGTTTTTAGAAATTTCTCGGAACGCATTCCATATTTGTAATAAAATAAAAACAAATTAAAATTGGTAACCCTAAATGAGTTTCAAAATGAAAAGTACATAATATAAATAAAAAGGAAATAAAAATCGAATGAAAAATTATAGGAGATGCACCCAAATATGTTGTAATTATTTCCATTCTCCCACCAATATTCTTGGTTAAAGCCAAAGCTAACGCAAAAAATCGGGGCAAATAATCGGCTGTATAATACAAGCTGAAGCTAAAGTTTTGAGTGGGTGTTTCAATAGTGATATTTATAGGTGTGTCATTAAGGTTTTCATTGATATGGTACAAGGTCAGCCAGAATGAAGGATCTTAAGTCCTCCAAAATATTCTGAACTGAAACCCTATCCTAATTGAATTTTCCCCCTAGCACATGGAAAATGGAAATGTATTACAACACCGCTTTGGCCACTTCTCCCCAGAGTCCTTGTTCGTAACAATATTTTCGAGGATTTCTACAGCACACCTGCCGCCTGGTCATATCGCTTATTGCCCATTCCCAAACATGGTTACAGTGGGGTGTTTGGGGCGTTTGGGGAGAACATTTGAGATAAACAGAGAGAGATTACTTCACCATCATCATCAACAATTAAGAGATATATAGTACGTATTAATAATATTCAGAGTAGATATAAATGGTTTTATATATATGGTATTGTTGTATGTATACAGGGCTTGTCAATTTCGCACTCAAACTGTGTGTGATGTAAAAAAGACTGGATTAGAGAAACGATTAGTAAACAATTTAGGCAGTTTCGATCAGTTCTGGCTTGATCTTTTAGCTAATTGGAACTCTCTGGGTGTCGTCGCGTGTTTTGTTCACTAAAGACTCAAACTAAAACTCAAACTAAAACATTGAATGCATCTTAGACTAAGAGAGGGGGTTTTGTGGGATGGGTTAGGCAAAAGCAGAAATAAAAGGGTGAACTTAAGGAAACTCAATCAAATCGTGCCGTAAACTCTTCTTGTATTTCTTTTTCTGGTACTTTTTTAGAGGTTACTCTTCTCAGATCTCTGGGCACTTCCAAGTTCCGTTCGATGGAGGAAGACTGTCCTGTCCGATCTGTACGATACATGACACAAAAGCTTGAAGCACTTGGAAATGGGATATTCACATGAGATCAGATCGCAGTGGATCTGCGCGCCAAGCAGCGGAATATATATATATATTTAGTAAGGCCATATATCATCACATCATATAGTACAGATAACTGGCGGACATTCGAAACGGGTAGCGAGTAACCAGTAACGAGTAGCGGGTAACGATAAATATATCCATTATATATCTGTTCAGAGTGCAAGCATTTATATCGGTTTGAGTCGCAAAAGCAATTGATGAATTAGCAAAATTTATACAGCATTGAGAGTGGGATAGATTGGAGTAGAGATAGATTTGTTGCTGTTATTCTTACACTATATAGTACTCTGATCTGCTCGACGGCTGAGTTATATTACAGAGTGCAAGAGCTGGCGATAGTGTAAAAATAATAGTGACTTTGCACAGAACCAAAGTTCAACTACATAAGAGTAACCCAAGAGGTAATCAAGAACTCAAAGGGTTGAATATAAGTTGGGGTAGGGAAGTTTGTCTGGGGTCTGGGTTATCGAACTAAAGAGGGTTTCTTACGCTTGACATTGACACGGTTCACAGTTCAACGGTTAGAAACACAATACGAACACATCTATATGAATATTTGGGTATCGTTTGGAGGGAAGGATTTGGGAAGGCACAAAGAAAAAGGGTTATTTGCTATATAAGAAACAACATTTTTATTAGGTAAGAAATATTAGTTTCTTAATACTCAAATTTTGCTTTAAAAAAAAGCTAAAGCTATGCAAATTGTATTGAATAAGTCAAGATCAGTTATATCTTGAAAACTAGTCACTCATATTATATGCAAACTGGACGATAAATTGAACTTTATGTTTAAGCTTTCATTAAACAAAAATATATATACTTGTTATTTTCAATTATAACACAATTCATTTAAGTTTACAAAATATATTTATATTAAGATCTACATGAAGAAAATATAGATCTTTTGAACTTTCTCTTACTAAGCAAATATATTAACTCAATGATTAAATATAGATACGATATATATGTTGAACGGTTATGACTTTTCATACAAAAAAAGATAGATAGTGTGAACTACCTGTAATTATTAAATGATATCTAATTTAATTATTCAAAGAAGATAGTCAAACCTACGTAACGAAAATATAGATAATTTGAACTGTTTTTTTTATAAAAGATATCAATACAATGGTGAACCTTCTATAGCGACATCCTTTTCCTCTGTGCGGGTATACGTTTTTGGGGGTTTGAGGGACTTGGGACTCTATGGACTACCTTAAGGTCGGGGCCACCGACTGGACTTACCCGGGCGGCGAAGCTGGTGTTGGGCTTCTCGAGCAGCTCCCACAGATACTTCTGGTACTCGGCGCATTTACCTTCGCCGAACTCCTCCTCGTCGCGCTGCCGCAGCGACTCCGCCTCCTTGCGCATCTCCTCGTGGACGTTCTCCTTGCGCTGATGGTACTTGTGCTGGCAGCAGGACTCCAGGTACAGCTCGTCCACGCCCCAGTACTCCAGGTCATCACTAAACGCCAGCACGCACATCTCGTCGACGATGTGCAGCTTGCCGGTGCGATAGAAGTTCAGGATGGAGCTGAAGCTCTTCGGGTGGCGGTCGAAGAAGTACTCGTTGTCCGCCAGCGAGTAGTCGTCGCACAGCTCCACGATGGCCTCGTGGGTGGTGCACTCCCTCAGCCGCCCGAGCCGCGTGTGTGGCAATCGCTCCAGCGTGCGCCACAGCACCTCGTGCCTCACCCCGCCCACGTTGATGGACACGCGGCTATTGGCCGCCTTCGACTGGGCTATCATGAACGGCTCGGGCGGAGGTATGGAGGACATGGATCTGGAATGTGTCCGCTGCAGGGCGCCAGTGGTGTTGCTCTGGCTGGGATTGGTGGGTGCACCACCGCCTCCACCTCCTCCGCCAGAGATCGATTGACTACTGGTGGCACCACCGACGCCCCCGCCACCGACGCTGCCAACGATCTGCTGGGAGGTTGTGGGAATCGAGTGCGTTGGTGATGCGACTGGGAATGGGGCGTAGCGAACTTCTTTGCCTGCTGCGGTTGCTCCTGCTGCTCCAGCTGCTCCAGCTGCTCCTCCTGCTCCGATTGCTCCTCCTGATCCCGATCCTGTGATTGACACGGCCCCACTTCCCACAGAAACACCGGCGGATGGGCCAGCAAGGTGGCCGCCATCAGCATAGTCCAGGTGACGAGCAGCGAGGCCTGGGGCATTAGCTGGCCCAAGGTGATAAGCAACATGGCCAGCTGCTGGTAGGGATCCGATGCCGAGGCCACCATATGCACCAGCTCCACCGGCTCCCATCGCCCGCTCCCAATCGACATTACCGCTTGTATCGTAGTACGGCTGATTATCGCCGATGTCGGCAGGTGTTGCAGCCTGCAGTCCGCGTGCAATTGCAATTGCCTCGTTTTGTTGCTGATACAGGATGTCCTGTTGTTGCTGTTTGTGTTGCTGCTGTTGCAATTGCTGCTGCTGCCTCGTGAGTTGCTGTTGCTGTTGCTGAGTCGCTTGTTGCTGTTGCTGTTGCTGGCCAGCAGCCTGTCCACCTTGCAATTGCCCGACCATTTGTAATACTCCATTATTGGTTTGAAGCGGTGTTGATTCACCCGTTGCCCAGCGTACCGCCTCACGGTCCCTGTCGCGTTCGCCGACCATAAGTCTGCTGCAATTGCAAATGTAAGAGATTTATTATCCTCAAAAATGCTTAAGCACTGAGAGCTTAACTTCTTAGTACAACACATTTAAAATTACTTAAAAATTGGTGATTTTACATGCTGCTTTTTTTATATTTATTTTCCACAAAAAGCACAACAAATTTGTAGGTACTTAAAAATGAAATCTACAGCACTATGTTTTGCAGTAATAATATAAAAATGTAAATTTTTTAACAGAAAAATTCTTTTTGATATATTATTTTTACTAAGCCTTTACGTTATATGTTAATATTCTTAACATTATTTCAAATAATTTAAATTTATTTCTTCAGCTTCTGATTTTTTTAAAGCAAAGTTTTCAACATCTAAAGACTTGTTAATTTCTTAAATTAAATATTTTTGAAAAGCAAGAGTTTAATTTGTATGTTTCCAATTTAATGGCTCCATTGATCTCCATGATTATTTTCAAGAGTGTAATATAGTGTTTAGGAACTCACCGCTACATCGCGTCAATTGTCGTCATTACAGCCTCCGTTGGCGAGTGTGCTGCTCTGGTGTCCTTTCCTCTTCCTTTTCCTCTACCTCTGCCAATTGCCGATAGCTATCGCCGCCGGGGCAATTGATTCCGATTTGCGACTTCCGGCCGTGGTATTATTATCTGCGGATCTATAAATCGCTCAGTTGCGGTCTGGCAGGCTGCTGGCTGTGTCCCCGGACCCCCTCATCTTTGGCTGTGCCCGTGGCTTTGGTCTGCTCCCGGCTCCACTCTCGTTGCTATGTCTATGATCACAGATGTGTTCTGGTCCTGGCCCCTGGGTCGTCGTGGTTCCGGACTCAGATTCAGAGTCAGATTCAGGTTGAGATTGAGTTTGAGATTGAGGCTCAGGCGTGGTTTGGCAGCATTTTGTGGGGGCAATAGCTGCAATTTATGACCAGAGATAGGGGTACGGCAATCAGTAAGGGCTGATTATTGGAGAGCAATTATATCTAACCACAAATCAATGGCTGATAAGCCGCATAAATGATGGCCACCTTAATTATGCGTGCCGTGTAATCAAACACACGACGACACAGTGGGGCATATAATATTTAATAATATGCTTCAAAAAAATATCAACTTTAATAAGAACGATTGATTAAAATATTTTGAAGAAAATATAAACAATTCTGTTAGATGGTGTAAGATAAATTACTTTTAATTTATTTCGATTAATATTTAATACTACTTTAAATTGGAATTGGTTTAATATATGTTTAACATCATAAACTTGTAACTAAAATAATATTTAAATAAATTCAACCAACTATTTTATAACTAGTGTAACAAAGAATACTTCTATAAAGTCAATCAACATTTTTATTTGCTTCACAAAAACAATTTTAATTAAAAGTCCTGAAATCGAAAGTTATTTGTAAGTAATGAAACGTAGTTTCCCAAATTAAAAGCCTTAAATCAGTAACCTTAACCACAAGTGCTGACAAGATAACCCATTTCATTTGTTTGACCTATGAATCACTAGGCCAGAACCCTTTAATTGAATCAGGCTATTTAAAGTTGCCACGCCCACTGTGCCTGCGGGTAATGAATCAATAGTTGCAGACAACTGATAAGATAGCAAAACCAATCAGTATGTGGGTCCTCACAATTTCCATTTCCACGCAGTCTCTGCCTTATTTGTAGCCTACTTTTTGGGGCTGGGAAAACTTTTGTGGCAATTACCGCATAATTGCGTATGCAAATTAATGCAATTGTGGGTAAATGTCGGACAAACAAAAGAATCGAGGTCGCTTCTCTTATTTATTAGCGTTAATTTGCAATCGCCGAAGGCTGGGCATTTTACATTTAAATTCCTATTTTTGGCCTCCATTCGCTTATTTGGCCTTTGCCCAGATTTCGCAACCCTATGATTCAGTTGCTGCCGCATTGCAATCAAATTTGAATTTTTACGCCCCGCCGGAAGTGGCAAGTAATAAGCCTAACGGTCCGCAAGTTTTCCGAAATGGATTGCCATGCGTAGCGCCCTGGAAAATGTGTACTGACCTCAGACCGCCGCTCAAAACGTCTTCATTTCGTATTCATTACCGCATTCCCATTCGAATATTCACATTTTGGCCCACGTGAGTACCCATTCGCATGCAGATTGCTGACTTGTGCGCCACCTGTCATTCTCGCTGCCCTTTCAACTCTTTCCACGCTTTTCCCACTCTCACCTCGCGTGCCAGGGGTCAGAGTTCGCGAGTTATGGCTGCAACGCAAATTATATAGTTTTGTTGCATTTTAGTACGACTAAATTGTTGTTTATTAGCTCCGATTCCAAGTAGGTACTCGGAGTTATACAATTTCCGAACGGCAGTGCCAAAGCTCGAGCAGTCACATTTTTGACAACATTTCTGGCGAGTTTCTCTTCGAGTTGATGGGGAATGCAATTTGGGAAGGGTATGATGAACTTAATAATATTTATACTGATTAAAACAAGACAGTTTTAATCACAAATCTAAGCAAAATAACATTTGAATATAACATTATTTTTAATAGAGTTATATAAATAAGTTAATATTTATTTACACAAAACAACTTGCGATCTAAGACAGAATACAATCGAAAACATTTAATTTCTGAAAATTATAAGTACGCAACTGTAATTCCCTTCTCATAATTAATCACTTAACCACCCTATCCACCAGGTAACAAATGCGTTTATATTCAAAACTTTTGGTTTAATTGAAAGCTTTTATGTGCGCTGCTTGAATTTTCCATTTATTTTAATCGCGTGCAGACGAAAGGCGAAAGTTTTTCTCCATTTTTATTGCAATTATTTCTGGCGCAAAATGAAACTAAACTGCATGCAAACTGGCAGCTCTTGTTGCAGTTGGATTTTATAATTCACATTTTTTTTTCATTTTTACCGAGGATGCATGCAACATGTTAGCCCAGCAGCTCGACAATTAATTCCTAGAGTGTATGGGTGAGTATCTGTGTTTTATGTGTGTGAGTGAGAAGTGGCCAACTTCACCTTGGAACCTGTTGAATTGCCTTGAGGCCCTTGGCAGAATGCAATTAATTTCCCATTTTAATAAGGTGAGACCTTTTCGTTGTTCCCAGCGAAACTTGGCCAAAAGCGTGAGAGGACTGGCGAAAGCCATTTCTTTTGACTGCTCCTGGCATTGTCATAAAAACTTGGCCAGATAATGGCTGCTGAAATTTATGGCAGCGCCCACACGCCCACACACAACCACACACACTTATTTAGTGGAGCTCATAAATCTGCAAACATAATTTGCTAAGCACGTATGCAGAACATTACAAAATGGCCCCTTAATTGCCCGCAAATGGTTTGACATTGTCCATCGCCGAGCAGCCTTGACTTTCCACAGACATTTTCATTTTCCCTCAAAACGGGGCTACTCGGATTACTAAACTGGGCTAAAACAACACCCATATAGCCATATAGCCATGGGGACATTATAAACTTGCTGGCTAAATTTGATGACAAAGCTGAAAGTCTGAGCAGCCTCATGTGTGATTAATGGTTTCTTTGCTTTATTGACGCTAATTGAAAATGTTGGGCAAACATTAGCGAAAATAATTAGGAACTTTGGTTATAAGGACGCATTAATTTAAAATGTAAAAGGAAAAGGCAAAAGAGCCATTATTGATTGACTTGAAGGGTAATAAACAATTTATTACCTTAAATTTTATATTTTGGTAAGGTTTTAAGACATACTTCTATTCAGATGATGCCTACAACTTACTATTAATTTTATTGTGGATAAAAACATAATAACAGAGGCTTAACTAAGAAACAGCTTGTCCATCATTTCAAAGACCGGAATAAATCTTTCTTAACTTACTTTGGCAGGCTTCAAAGCACTTTATCAAGCATGAATTTGTAAGACTTTGGACACAAAGTAATTCCTTTCCAGCCAAACGCCCCTCTCAAACAAGATACATTGCATCAAATGCCAAAAATCCACTTAAGTGCTAAAAGCAAGCAACTCCAAGCTTTTTCCATTTGCATATTGCAAGGCGGAATGTTTCCTGCTTTCGCCGGCAAAAGGAGAAAGGGCGAAGAAAAAGCCAGCACTAAACTGAAACTAAAACAAAAGTAAAACTAAACTAAGGCCCGCGGCAACAACAAGGCACGTAGCTCTTGTTGTGCCAATTGTTGTTCCGCTTGCGAGTGGCAAACATTTATTGCCGACTCTCCAGCGTCGCCATTGCCATTGTCTAAATTTATGGCTGCCATTTTGTTTTGTTTGGCGCAAGCATTTTGCAAGTCAAGTGCATTTATTTTTAAATGCTCGGCAAAGGGCCGCGAAGGGCGTATGTTCAGAGTGCGTCAGCGGCAACCTCAACACTCGGGCCCCTTTTCTATCTGTGTCGATGTGTGTCGGGCTTCCTTTCGGCTGGCGGGTCTTCCCCAATTCGACGCCATCGACTTCCGGCCACATCCACATCCGCCTGAGGCTGACCCCTAGACAGCATTGCGAGAAAATATCTGGGGTTTTTTACTTGGCACTCTGTTTTTTGAAGAATAACCTTATTTCGACCGTACTGCAAGGTTCACACAAGGCTTTGTGAATAAATAATATTGACTTTGGTCACACTAAAAATATTTTGATAACTGAAGAATCCTTAGTGTATTTTTCACGCAACACTAAAAAAATGTCTTACTTTTTAAAATACAAAAAAATTTAAGATTTTTGATTTAAAAGTGTTCACAATTTAGTTTGTATGATATATAATTTAATAAGTGTTTGGTCAAGGGTAAATGTGCACTCTCGAAAACTAAGATAAGTTCTCTTTTTTCAGTTTCTGTTATTTCTTTCAGTGCAGTGTTCTTATTTTATTTGGCCAGCAAAAATGTGCGAGGAGCGTTCAAACGAAGTTAGTGTAGAACCAACACTCACGTCTCTGTAGCTCACTTTCCATTTTCTGGAAATTTAAGCAAGTTACTCTAATTGTGTTCGCCGCTTTCCTCAGCCTTTTCGCCCCGCATTTTTCGGCGTTTTCTTTTGCGTGCCACGGCGACTTATTGGCCATTGGCATGCAAGCTGCTGCCGCCTTTATTTCTGCTTCTTGACCAACTTGACTTGGCCTTGGCTAACATTTAGGGTTCCCATATATATACACATAGTATATGTGTGGGTGCTCGTTCTCACTTTCGCTCAATTGTTGCACTTGGCAGCTGCCTTCAAAAGGGGCATTCGTGTATTAACTTAATTGTTTTTATTGGGCATTACGCTGCTTTATGGCTTTATGGCCCCTTTAAGGTCCTGCATTCCGACATGGCGTCATCCTAATCCCGGATCCCTGGCCAAAATCGATGGCAACAGGGTGTGCCAGGCACTTTATTTCGTGTGGTAGTAGAAGGTGTCATTAACCCGGCACAAATTGCTGTCTGCTTGGAGTCTTGGTCTTGGCTGCAGGGCGTTCGTTACCTTCGCGGCCCCCATCCGTTGGCCGTTCATGTCAACTGCGCAGTTGGACGGACCGCAACCGCATCAAATATTCATAATCAACTTTGGGCCATTGCCCGTTAACGTTAACAGTTTGCCATGGCCGACCATATTCCTCATATGTGCCAGCCGCCTTATTGATTTTCGATTATGATCAATGCACACCTCTTCAATGGGTGCACAATGACAAAAAATCAAAGCTTAATTAAATAAATTAAATACAAAATTTTACAGTAGTTTCTTCAGTAAGGTAGTTAGACAGCTATATTATACTGAAAAGTGGTTGAAATGAGTGTACAATAACACAAATGAGGTCTTTTAAATTTCTGTTTATTTAATATATTTTGTTCCAAATTTTTCAGATTGCGAAATTGATTTTATAGCACAAAATATATTACTTTTGTTAAATATTTTTAATTTTTTTTTTAATAACCAATCAAAAAGATTTTAAAAATTATA